TGAGGAAACCTCAAACGCACCATATTTACCCCCTATCATTATTTAGAGCTCTTGAGAAATTCTATCTACTCCAAAAACACTAGGTAAGAGGAGTAATTTTTAAATGAATTTGTGTTTGTATTTAGTGATATTACGATCGTAAGTAACTTCATGAATCTATAAGAGATATATGATAGATACAGACATCAGTATTTTCATAACAGCTCACCAGTGTTAATAGCTATCGAGTTCGGGTTTTTACCCTTTGATAGGCCTTTCGACTAGCTACAAAGTCAGGTATTTGAAAAACCCCAAAACTACCAGTCATCTGAGACATAACTAGGCAATTTGGTTTCTGGATACAATTTTTCAGCATTTTGAGACCTTTTTCAGGCAATGTTTTGTTAGAAAGCTACGATTTGGTTCAAAACTAATATCAGATTCGGAATCAGCGCTAAAAACTGAGTCGATTTATATATGCTGTGAATAATTTTGAGAATAATATTATTTTTTGAAAAAAAATCCCTGTACTCCCCCTCAACGATGGTCTAATCAATAATGAGAATTTTTTTTATAACTCAGCAATGGTACAACCGATTGAGCTCATCTTCGAACTCGACCGAGATATCAATGAGACTAAACTGTGTAGAAAATTTCACCTCAGTCTGATTCTCCTTTCGTGCGTTATCGTGTAAACGGCCGGACGGACGGACGGACGGCCGGCCGGACACACTGACCGATTCTAGTAGTGTACTCACTTTTTGAGTACACAAAAAGGAAGAAATTAAGCATATAGGTTACCGAAGAAAAGAGAGTTTGCTTGTTTTGTAGAGACAACTGTTTTTATCGGTAAAATTATCACTATGTGAGCGTCACCAACTGTACATCCTAAAGATCTATGTATTATATTTTTTCTATTACTTCTCGAAGAACTAGCATAGGCAAAACTAGTCGTACTTGTAATTGTTTCGAGAAATATTTTCATCGCGCCTCGTCGCCTAATACCGATAGATCTCGAACGAAGATATTAGGCATAAACAAGTCGAAGAAGGAAAGGATGACAGCAAGTCAGTATTACCTATTTGTGTTGTTGTTGCTGTTATTATTGTGTAGACGGTGATAATCACAACGACGATACAAACAACTATAAATCATCGTTGTCTTCTCACTCTGGATTATAGAAGAAACAAAAAAAAAGAGGAAAACCTTCCATTCGACAATCGGATAAAAAAGACGTATATTTATCCTATATAGATAGGTAAAAATCAATATCATCGGCATAACTACTATGCTTTAGGAAATCAGCATGATAAAAAACAAGGCTAATTTTTTTTCCTCTACGAGAAAAATATCGACTTCACAATAATGTAAGTATTGGTGTCTAATCATAACGTTTCAGATCGGATATAAAGACAAGACGTTATTGTCTGATCATTTTTTTCAATAAAAGTATAAATAAAAATATATTCAAATGAATCGTATTTTTTCTTCATTTCCCTAATATGTATCATACTACCACAAGAAAATTTCAGTTCTCTGAAAAAAAGAGGATGAAAATAAAAAAATCTATGATTTTTAATGGGTCATCGTACAAAAAAAAAGTGAATAGCACATTCCGTTTAGCATTTGACGGTCTATTCATATATATTAATTGCGAATACAGCTGAAGATTCTATGCGTTCTGTAAAAGAAAGAGTTTAAGTCTTCTCGCTATTATTTTATAAAAAAGTGAGGTACATTTTATAGAGAAACATTTTGAAAATTAGAGGGTATTTGAGTTTCAATTGACTATGAAATGTGATGCGAAACTCGATATTAAAATGATGATTTTAAGGTTCTCACAGATTTCTCAACATTCATAATTATCATAGAATAGAGGGTGTGGATTTAGATATGAATAAGACATACACACACCCTACTGAGTTTTCTAGAATTGATAACTGTGCAATTCGAATTATATACTACGTAGAAAATAATATTTCACTAAGCAAAACATACTGAACATAAGATGGAAAGAATACTGAGTATTCTTAATAAAATACTGTGTAAAAATATATGCCTTTTTTTAATTAAAATTTAACAGTAATAAGAAAGATAACGATACTATGAATATGTTAAAATCAGAGTGAACAGTAGTTCTTTAATATGAAGTAACACAGTGCACATATTTCATTTATTTTTATTTAATATTGTTTATGATGTTTCATGAGTGATAATAACGATATTTATTAGATTTTCAATGGGAATTAAAAATAACTAACAAAAAAACTAAGATAAACTAGAAGAATCAAACTAAAATGATTATTGTCTGTTCAAAAACGTATATATTGATGAGTTCAAAATAATACATTTAATAGCAAACAAAACTAAAATAAACTGAAAATTTTCTTTCTTTTTTTGTAAGTTAGTTGATCGCTAAACTACGATATTTATTATCCTTGTTATTTATTTTAATAGACTCGCTATATAGTTGCACATGTTGAGAATTTGCTTTTCATCAAACATCCAAGATGAATGGCTATAGTCATACATTTGAAATAATCGGATATATTCATAATTCACTAGTGTATCAAGATTATTAAATGATGTATTGATGTAGTATGAAAATAATTCTAACTGATCGTTCAATGTAACGGTTTCATCCATCTTGTGAGCTTTAAATAATACAATATTTGTATTTCTGTTGATTATATTTAACCGAAATGGTTCATTGTCTATCATCGGTAAATAAGAATAGTTTATTGGATCGATAATATCCACTTTATCTGCTTTGCCAATTTCAAAAGAAGCCTTGCGTACATTAAAGAATGAGTCGATCATAAAAATATTATCTACTTTCTCGCCAGCATTCATCAATTGGCGAAAAAGTTCAAACGACAAGACGCCGCCAAAACTCCAGCCTAGAAAGTTATATGGACCATCATGTTGGGTTTCTTTTATATACTTTATGTACACAAGAGCTAATGCTTCGACCGAGACGCCTTTTTCCATATTTTTTTCTTTAAAATCACTGTAGTAATTATTGAATAATACCAGTTTATATTGATATAAATGAGGCACAATGTTGTTGAAGTAGTTTTCGGCACCACCTTTAGCAGGCGGCAAAATGAACAAAATATTATTGCAACTTTCATTGATCACAACAAACGGATGCTGGAAAAAATTCGAATAGGTAGCAATTTCATGTGAAACTTGGATTTGTTCATCGAGAAACATGCCCTCCTGAGCAAGAGAAGGCATATCTACAAGAAAAATCAGTGGATTTATATATCTGATGGATGTTTCTTAATATAAAGATGTTTTACCTTGATTGATATGTAATGATTGCCATCGTATGGTCTGCGTATCATTAGATGGAAGTGTTTGAAGTAGTTGTGCATGTTGTTGAATAGTTGGTTGCTGAAGAAAGAGACCAATCGAGAGTGAGTGAACACCGAAATTGAATAATGATTGGTAACGATAATATAGTTCAATGAAGCGAAGTGAATGACCACCAATAGTAAAAAAACTAGCAGCTCTGGGAATGTGATTTTCATTAGAATGAAGAACTTGACACCAAATAGTATGTATACGTTCTTCTAACTGATTGCGAGGAGTATCAGATTTATCAAACGATAATAACGTCAATAATGAAAAGTCGGGTGACGGAAGTTGTTTTCTGTCTACTTTTCCATTTAGATTCAAAGGTAATTTGTCAAGTATAATGAATTTTGATGGAATCATATGAGGTGGTAAGTGTAATTGGCAATGTTGACGTAGTTGTTCTTCATTGATATGAGAAGATTGAACATAAGCAACTAAATGATCATCTTTCCATTTCATGACAACACAAGCAGAGATAGATGTAATGTTAAGTAAACATCGTTCAATTTCACCAAGTTCAATCCGTTGTCCATGAAGTTTGATTTGATGATCTTTTCTTCCATGATAATAAAGAAGACCACTGTTATCCATTGTAACAAGATCACCTGTTCGATAAAATATTTTACCATCTATCTCAAGAAGAGCTTTTGCAGTTAAATCATCACGTCCAAGATAACCCGCAAAAACACCAGCACCTCCCACAAACAGTTCACCTTCTTGATTCGTGATTGATTGTTGTAAATACTCATTTATAATCATACATCGGTAATTAGAAAGTGGTTCACCTATTGAAACACTTTGTGTGTACTCTATTGGGTCTACTTTGTAGAAGGTAGAAACTATAGTTGTTTCAGCTGGGCCGTATAAATTCCACACATCACAGTCAGATATGCCAATTTTTACGACCAAGTCGACCAGCTGAATAACAAAAGCTTCACCTATAATAACGGAAACATAGTGTAACGAAATGACCAGAATCGTTTCCAGTTACTCACCGATACTACAAAGTGATCGAAGTTGTTTCACGGCATTTATGCTCTTGTTCTGCTCAATAAAAATGAAAAAACTATGGAGTAAGCTTGGAACAGTATGTATATATGTAATTTGCTTGTTCTGTATGACTTCAGATAGATAATCAAAATCAATCGTTCCACCTGGATGAAGCATAATCAATGAGCCTCCGATCAGCAATGTACCAAGTATCTCTTGAACATGAATGTCAAATGAACATCGTGTCATTTGTACAACTGTATCATCTTTATTAAATGAGTTTATATAAACTAAAGAATGCATACAATCAATAAAGTTTTTTTGTCGAACTTGAACCTATGAAAGAACATAAAAATCAATCAGATATTTGAAAATGAAGTGAAAACGAACCGCTTTGGGTGTTCCAGTTGAACCACTAGTGAAAATAATGTAGGCTACCTCATCACCTTTCATTATCGCACTAAAAAGATCTTTCTTATCTGTATCATTAACATTTAATATTGAATCAATATTAAGTGAGATAATGTCATCATCAAATTTAGTCTTAGTTAAATCATGAACAAGAACAAGACGACTTTGTGTTTGTTTTGTGAGTGCATGTAAACGATGTTGAGGATCATGAGGTGATAATGGACAATAAACACCACCAGCCATTTCAATTCCCATAATACCAATCACCTAAACAAAGATAAATCTCAAACTCTCATCAATAGTTACTTCTCCTAATCAACTTACCATGGACAGACTTCGCTCAACACATTGACATACTATCTCACCTGGAAGCACATGATATTCATTGAGAAGAGTTAAAGATAAGACTTGAACATAATATAAAAGTTCACAATATGTCAATGATTGTTCATCTAGTTCAACAGCTAGTTTTTGTGGATGTTTCATTACTTGTTGTACAAACTCATGATGAATACAAGTGAGAGGAGATGAAAATGATGTTTGTGTATTATTCAATGATTGCATTAAGTATTGTTCATTTGATAATGTTAATGATAATTCATAGATTGATTTGTTTATTTGACTGTCCATAATAGATGCAGATAATTGATGTAAGATAGAATGAAATCGTTGTGAAATCTTTTCAGTTGTCTCTCTATTGAATAAGTCAAGTGATGCATTGATTGTGCATGACAGTTGATTCATGTTCATATCATGATGAATTGAAAGGGAGAAGTCCAATACACTTAATATCTCATCTTCATTAGTATGGAATGAGAAAGATCCTGGAATAAGTTGACAATCACCAATCATCATGGCATTATTACTCTTGTATGATTTAAATTCCACAGATGTATCCAAAAATGCATGTTTTGAAATATGTGGATGTTGATTGAGAATACGTTGAAGTGGAAAATATGAATATTTCATACTATTTGTTGTTATCTCTTGAACATGTTCGAGTAATTGATGAAAAGACCAATGTTGATCTAATTGACATCGTAACGGAATGACATTCTCAAACAAGCCAATAATTGATTTGAGTTCATCTCTATATCGATCATTGATGTTCATAGTAATACATAGATCTGTTTGGCCGTTAGTTAGTTTAAATATAAAGATGAAATAAATAGCAAATGTGAGATGTTCAAGTGATATGTTATTTGATAATGCATGAATAAGAAAGTCCTGTGAGAGATCTTGACCAAAATCAAATGAAAGAGATGTTCCACGACCAGTTCGGTGTTCATTTGCAAGACGATATCGATCAAATGGTAATGATAATGGTTGATCAAGTTTACAATCATGAAGAGCATCAAGCCAAAACATACTTGCACCAGTCATTGACATTTGTTGTTCAATAACAGCATCTATATAAGTAAAGAAAAGAATGTATTAGAAAAGAGAAAAGTAGAAGTAGTATTTATATTTACAATCGATATAACGCATATCGTCATCGTTGTTTGGTAGTTGATTTGTTATATACACTTGATTAAGATCATGAAGGAAGATATTCATTGATGGAAAATCAAACAAAGCATGATGGAAGTTAAAAATAAGTAGATCTCTGTGAGAAAGAAGGTGATTTGAAGAGATTTGTTTGTAATAAACAAGATGACATCGAAAAACGGGACCCTTTGAAAGATCAAAAAGTAGAGGATTATGTTTTTCTTCATGCATTATATCATTGACTTGCTCTTGTGTGTCGTAAGTGTTTTCGGTGAATGCATACAATCTATTATGATTATCATTAATGTCAATAATTTGTTGCAAAAATGAATTTTTTTCTGCATTAAAGTTAAGTAATGTACGAAATGATTGATGTTTTCTGACAATCAGCTGAAGAGCCTGTCGAAGTTGTTGTATTGATAAAGTGTGTTCTTTATTAAGACGGTAGAGGAAAGGCATATTGTAAATTGCGAGTTGTGATTTGTCTGGATTAAATCGAACTCGTTCATCAAACCAAATGCGAGCTTGTGCATATGATGCTGGTACTACGATTAATAACGAGATATTAATTAGACATAACTGAAAGTATGACTACATCTTTCGGTGATCCTAATGACTGATGATAAAAGAATGTTACTGAGTCAATTGGAATGATGCATAAAACGTATAAGAAGTTGTAGAAAAACATTGAAGATCAGCTAAACTTGGATGATCATAAGCACAGTCAAGTCAGACTAATGGAATTTATTTATACTGACAATATCATTAAAATTTAGCATCGTTTTTAAAGTATGAATTGGATTAGAAATATTAATATTTAGCATATTAATTTTTATGTGAATTTATGGAAGGCAAAGAAGAAAGCTATCGACAATCTCTGAATCTAAAATGTAATACACAAAATCATTGTGGTTGCTAATAGCAAAACATTCTTCATAAATAAGTTGAAATCTATCTTGATGAGAACTATCAATGTCTTGGATCTTTTCAATTCGCTTATAAACTAATGGTTTTTATCAATCGACTCTCAGATACATTTGCCAAGTTTCATATTTGAGACTGTGCTCGTTATGATATCGATCATATTTGTGGAGAAAAGAAGGATCGGTTCAAGTTTTGCTTTTATATTAGAAATTCTTCTACTTCGTCGTTCATAGAAAAAGAGGAAGAAGAGAAACTCAGTAAACAAGCAACACACATTAATTCATGATAGTAAGTTATATATATATCAAAAGGTAAGACGTTATGTTAATTGTGTGGACTAATCAAAGATTCAGTATCATACTCAAAAACTTTACAACTAACATCAATCTTAATTATATCAGATGTAATGGCATGATTCGTGTTCATAAAACGAGATTTTCTTGCCATTTTTACAGATTATTCACCATAGATTATCGGTTTCTTTATAGACAAAAATAAAGGAGAAAAGAATTATACAAACTTACCTTCATTGATAATATTCTGTTGTCGAAAAAAGACAGTATCTTTAATTTCTTGAGCTTCTGTCGGTAAAATTAAGCTAAGTTTCGAAATAGATGTAAGACTTGGATTAATTTTATCAGAAATTGATTTTGATGAAAAAAGTTGATCGACAAGATGTTTTAATCTTTGAGCGACGATTATAGCTGTTGTCTCATCAAATAGATCACGCGAGCAGTTTAGACAAAATGATAGTTTACTATCATCAGATATTGGATTATAAAGAGTAGTCAATCCAAAATCAAATTTAGCAGCCCCATAAGATTGTTGTATTGGTAATTCTTGCAACGTTGCTGTATCAATAGACCATTGACTGTTTCCCGAGATAGTGATAAAATTGAACCCTGTTTCAAGAAATGGAACGTTTGACTGTTTAAGCTGTGAGTCAGTAAGAATCTGCTGTAGTGGATAATGAGAATGTTCAAGAGCTGATATACATTTTTCTCGCACATGGTCGACAAGTTCATCAAATGACCAGTTTGAATCAACTTGAACACGATATGGTAGTGTTGAAACAAACATTCCTATTAAATTCTGCAGTTCAGGTTTGTATCGATTAGCATTAAGACATGAAATGCATAGATCATTTTGTCGATATGTTAGCTTGAAAAGAAATGCATAGAATGTAGCTAGACATAGTTGAAATGGTGTGACTTGATGTGATGATGCATAATCCAGAAATGCTATCGAAATCTCAGTATCAAATGAGACATGAGCAATGGAAGCATATCCAGATCGCTGATCACTATATAAGCTATGCCGATCTACTGGTAGTGTCAATCGACATTCTTGGTTGTATCCATTTAACTGAGAACACCAAAACTTACGAGATGGTGCCATGTCGATTAGACGCTCATGAATACTATAATCAATATATTGTAATGATTCTTCATCATCTAACCACGTCATGTTACTATTGTAAGTATTACATAGATCATGTAAAAAAATTGAGACACTTGATTGATCAATTGCAACATGATGAAAGCCGATAACGAGAACATCATAATTTGTAATCATTTCTTTATCATAATTCTCATCAGGTATCATCTGTTGTCTGAGAATTTGACAACACAAAACACGACCACTTGATAAATCGAACAGATTAGAACTAGTACTTGTTTGTGAAATAATGTTGTGAAGATCAGTTTGATTTTTGAATGTTTGATCGGCAGCCAATGCAAATGTCAGATGGTTATCAGTAATAGATTGTTTTAAAATATTATTCTCATCATTGAAAACTAGAGAAGTTCTTAACATCTTATGTATGCTTAGGACACAGCGAAGTGCTTGCAATAAGCGATTCACTGATAATGAACCTTTTGTAATTTGTAGGACAACCAGTTCATTGTAAATAGCAATTTCCCCAGAAAAGCGCATTTTCTCATCAAGATATATACGTTCTTGAGCATATGATGCAGTACCTGTAAATTAGAGAAAAAAACATTGTATCCTGATGCAGAAGTGCTTATATATGCCTTACATTGATTAATATGTAGGGTGTGCCATTGTTTTTCTTGAAGATCATTGATCTTAATATTTTCTAGTAGTTTTGCATGTTCGGCTATAGTATTATGGTCAAGGAATGATCGAATATTTATTGTTTCATTATCCAAATTAAATAACGTTCGATAATGTTGATAGATTCGAATAAATAGAAGAGAATGACCACCAATGCTAAAAAAGTTTGCAGTCGTCGAAATTCGACTATGACCCAGTATTTCACACCACAATGAATGCACAAGTATTTCGACTTTTCCTATTGGTTCTATGTATCTGCGATCATTAGCAATCGTTGCGAGAACCGAAAAGTCTGGTATGGGAAGGTTCTTACGATCGATTTTTCCATTAGCATTCAATGGCAGCTTTTCCAATACAATAAATATAGATGGTACCATATATTGACGAAGATATTTGCTGCAGTGTTGTCGAATTTCTTCTGTATCGATCTGTAAGTCATTCGAAACTACATAAGCAACAAGAAGATCATCGTTCTGTGGAGCTTTGGTGACAAGACAGTTAGAGATCTTGTCAGAAGACCAAGTGATAATTGTACTTTCAATTTCAGTTGTTTCTACTCTTTGACCATGCACTTTGACCTGGAAATCAATACGTCCAGCATGTACCAGTTCACCTCGTTCATTATATCGAGCTAAGTCACCTGTTTTCATATAAATCTGGTTATCAACAGTGACGAACATATTGTTAGTTCGCTCTGGATCATTGAAGTAACGATTAAATAGGGCTGATCCTATGATGAAACAGTCGAAAGATTATCTTCAATGGAAATTGAAAAGAAAATACATCATACCTCCTATATGCAGTTGACCAATTTCACTAGATCTATTCGTACTGTGTATGATCTGGCCTTGTTTGTCGATGAGTAAACATCGATAGCCAGGAAGTGGATGGCCCATAGGTACAACTCCATTATCGAAACTGAATAGTCGACAGCCCAGAGCCCCATTACATTCAGTCATACCATACAGAGTACATACTTTGATATCAAACGAGTGTAACACACCGACTAACTTCACTAGTTGTTGAGGCTTCATGGCTTCGCCTAAATGATATGAGAATCAGTTGCAAAAGCATTCTTTCACAAGTATATAGAGATTTCTGACTTACCTACTGTGATCACATTGCGTAAAAACTTCAAAGTAGCTAGCCGTTGGGTGTTCTCAAGGTAAGTGGTAAGAGCTCGAATTATTCCGGGACCAATTGTAATTGTTGTCACTTGTTGTTGTATCAGAGTTCGACAAAAATAGTCCATATCAAAATGACCATTTGGTCTTAGTAACACAAGTGTGCCACCAACAACTAGTGGTAACATGATTTCGGATATATGTAAAATCCATGAACACGCCGCAATCTGTAGCACCTGATCTTGACTAGTGTACACATGAAGGTCCCATTGACTAAAAGCACGAATGCTAGTTGACAAGCTTCGAAAAGAATGAACTACAGCTTTGTGTCGACCAGTTGTACCAGATGTGCAAATAATAAGTGCATCACCATGCTCTTTGCAATCCGGAAGCTCTTCCATGTCTTCCACATCCGACAATGGAGAAAGAATCTCGTCTAGCAAAACAAATTGTTTGATTGAATTTGTTGCAGGGAATAGATGGCGGGTTTTTTTATGTGTTAAAACGCATGAGCCTTGTAATTGTTTGAGAATCGAAGTGACTCGTTCGTATGGATCTGTGGGATTTAATGGACAGTACATACCACTCGCACATATAATTCCAAATAACCCAGAAACCATTTCAAGACTTCGTTCAACAAACTGGTAAACAATCTGACCTCGAACAAAGTTCGAACGATGCAGATAATAGGTTGTGCGTTTGATTTGTTCCACCAATTCGCTGTACGTCCACATCTGATCGTCAAGGGCTACCGCCACTTTTTGTGGATGTATTTGAACTGTGTGAAACAGTTGGTCCAGTACATAGTATGGAGTAGTCATGTTTTTGTTAGTTTCAAAACTACTAAAAGCTTAATAAACTAAATCTGAAAAGAAAATAGTTAGACAATAGTGTAAAGTAAACCTCAAATCAGACCATCTGATTCAACTTATACTTGTTCGTTCAAGCGAGATTCTGCATGCAAAAAAGAAAAAAAATGGTTGTGTTCAAATTTTGTAACAGAGATTAGTAAATTTACACTCTGATAATTGGATTAAAGTCTATGTGTTTCTTTCTTGATCGAGCTCAGCGATAATCGTGAAACATGCTCAACTAGACACCTTGAGGGTGTGGGTTTGAGGTAAAGAGGCGATCAGTAACCACACCCACATCCAATTTATTTTTGAATGTTTTGATGAAAACCATTGAAGATTAAATTAATTTGAATTTTATGGAATTTCAAATTGATATTTATTTAACTTAGTTGTACTTTTTGTTGATATTTGTTGAAGTAATTCATTCAATAACTTTGTTACTAATGATGAATGTGTTAGAAATGTCATTTCAATTAAAATTTTCATTAGATGTTGATCATTATTAGTTTTAATTGCATTTAACATGAATTGTGGAAAATTTCTTGTGACCTGAACTGTAAAAAAAACTTTGTTCAAATATTTGTTGAATTAATATTGACCCATAAACAACTGTAAGTTCAGCACCTTGACATTGATTACGTACAGATGAACTATTAGATATTAATTGACCAATTATTTCTCAAATATCATTATTACAATTTTTATAAAATAAATTTGATAAAAAATCTTTTCTTTTAAGTAAACAATCATAATGATGAAGACAAGCACCATCATAGATTAAATCTATAGATCCATCTTTTGCTATGATAACATTATGTTGACCTTTGGCTTAAATAAATAATTAAATAAATATGAATTCATTTTATTTTGAATACCTTACAACGAATTTGCTTAATAAGAGTAGAAAATGATGATCGACGAACATTTTTTAAATATACTATATCATTATCGATTAAATCATGAACGATACTTGTATATTGACAATCAATTTGATTCATTTTTTTTCTTTTCCTTTATAAAAATATCTTCAAGATAATGATGAAAATCAAATTTGATTTATTAAAATTCTCCTGGTATTCTTGATCTAACTGGAATATTTCGTAATGTCATAGTATTAATACCTTGAAAGTGAAAATCATTTATTTGAATTGAATTTAAACCAAATTGTTCAATAACATATTGAGATAATGCATTAATAAAATGTTCTGGACATAAAAGACGAATAATAATTCATTTTTCAATTCGACAAAAATTGTTGATTATTTAAACTAGGAAATGAATTTAATTGAGGATTATCATACCAAGTTTTCCATTGTTGTTTATTTTTTAAAATCGATTCGGATAAATGATGTAGTTGATCATCTTGACTAAATAAATTTGATAACGAAACAATATCAAACCAAATAAGATTTGATTGAATTCAGTTTGGTTTTTTTGTTAATGTTGATGGATATGATAAAGATTGAATATCAATTGTTGGTAAACTAGTTGCTAAAAATTCTAACTGAAGTATTTCACTTTTTCCATCTCTGTTCTTAATAATAATTGAAGAAGAATTAAAAATTCTAAGCGATCATCAATTGATAATTGACTAAAAACAAAAAACAAGAAGGAGAAATAAAGAATTTTTTAATATCTTTTTCGTTTTCTACGAACGGTAAGATTATTTTGTTAAATGATCGAATTAATTTTTTTAAATCTTCATCTATTTGTTTTTGATCAAGTGCAGATAATTCCTCTTTTTTGTAATTCATTTGTTTCAATTAATGATGGAAGTTGAGGATATTCTTTAAGAATGAAACAAAAAAAAGGAAATTTTTTTTCACATTAAATTCAACATACTTTTATCTTGAGAAGGTTTTTTATCATTTAATGGAATAAATTGATCAAATAAAGAATAGGTAATATCAATAAAAAAATGATCCTATTTTTAATGAGTTTTTAGAATCTAGAATCATACATAAATTTGTAAACAAACCTGACTGCATTTGATTTAAGAAATGAATCAATTCCTTCAGTTCTTAGTTGACATAAAAGTATTAAACGAAAAATTGATAATTTTTTTTTGATATGAATTTAGTTGAATATGTTGAAACACTTGTTGTCATAAATCATCTAATAATGTTATAACACTTTCTTGACAATTAATAGATGTTGTTAATAGTTATAATGATGATGAAACTTTGTCAAGTGAATCACAAGTTGTATAAAAATCAAAATGACGACCACAATAAATAATTAAATTTGAATCTAAACAAATATTTTAGATTTTAATAAAAAACAAAAAAGAAGTTGATATACCATCATTAGAATTTAATTCGTGTGATGTTGCTTTCCATTGTGCTAATGGATAAAGAAGATTATCTACTGTATGACAATTTTTTATATAAAGTTTTGAACCAGATAAAAATGATTGTTCAATTGACATTACAACACCATGTTTTGATTTTTAAAATAAAATAAAAAAATATTTTTTATATTTATTGTAAACTGACTATTTAGTACGAGAATACAACATACTGATCATCAAAATGAATTTTTTAAAGATTATAATATTTTTCCATCCATTGATCATATTGTCCAGATGGATCAACAAGAAGTGGAGGATATTCAATTGATTTAATAATAATTGTATGATTTTCCATTTCTAATGATAAAACTCCATCACTTAACCATTCCTAATATATCTGATCACCCAATGAAAATTTGATGAAAGAAAATAACATTTGACGATATTCAGGTCCACCAAATGATTTTTGTTCGTCACTTATCTAAAAAGAAATTTTCTTTATAAGTTTTCAAATTAAAATAATCATTCATTTGCTTGTAGTAAATTTTCTTTAATAGGATCTAATTGCCAATTTATAATTCGATCTTTAATACTTGATATTTGATCAAAAACAATAGTCATTCCTCTATCTTGAATACATTTAATCCAATGAACAGCTAACATAGGACGTTGAAATCCATCTGTATATGGATCAAGATAAGTTAAAAATGCTAATACAATTGCACATGTATCATTTAATGTTGGTTGACGTTCTGCAATTGTTTCATATATTGTACTTGTTCGTTCTAATTCTCGCGATAAAATCTACAAAAATAAGTATTTAAATTTATTTAAATTTTCATTGAAAAATATTTAAGAAATTTGTAACAAACTTGATTTAATTCTGATGCAATTTTTAAATGATTTTCTTTCATTCTTTTGAAAGATCTTTAAAACGAGCTACTAATTAATACCTAAGCATATGTATTTTATTTTAATGGATAGAAATCTTAAGAAACAATAATAAACTAACTTGACTTTTATTATCTAATAAAATTAATTTTTGATCTTGTTCTAATACATCTTCTTCAGTTTCTTATATTTCTGATGCATTGGTCGAACTTTTTAAAGTAAAACTGTATGATATCTATATAAACTAATAATAATAAACTTTTTCAAATAACTAACTGTAAAACTCATTAAATCCATTTGTAAAGTGTTAAAACAGTATTATAATAAGATGTTTGATTAAGTGATATATTTTCAAGTTCAACTTTATCAATAATTGCACTAGTTAAATCAATATGTTCTTCTGATAAATTAATTTTAGCAAATAATTGAGTTTCTTCAATAAATCTATCAAGATTAGCTAATTGTCTTTTCGCATCTTTTTGCCGTGTTATATCAGCTGTTGGAGATTTTACTATTATTAATATAAAATTTTACGAAAATAGAAGAAATCGAGAAAATATTCTAAACTTACAAATCATAATAATAGCAGCTAATGTATCTTCTACTGGTTTTTCTGCTTTAATAACTAATCTTAATTCTTGTAATGAGTTCATATCAAGTTGTTCAATTAATTTTCTTGCATCACTTGCAATAGCTAAACATTTATAAAGATTCTTTTCTTGTGTTGTTAATTCATATTCAGGTAACAATCGTTTTAATTGAACTGTTCGTCGTGTTTAAGATTTATGAGCACAAATTTGTTGTTCAGCTGTAACCATAGCTTGACCTATTTGAACTAACATACGTACAGTACTCTAAATAAAAAGATTTTAGATTTTATATCGAAATATTAATAAAAAAATTTATACTGTAAGTCTTTCTGCAAGTACAGTTCTTTTCTTATTGTAATTCTTTTTCTAATTTAATTGATGTTTCATGTTGATATTGAATTTGTTCAAGAAGACGTTGAACATCACAATGATTTTCATGAACATTTGATGATTTTTTTATTGATTAGTTTTACAAATCTAAATGAGAAAATTTTCTTTTTTAGAATTCGAGTAAATGTGAAATTTGGTTTCTAAAAGTTAGTTCGTGTAACACTCTGAAAATTTATTCGATTAATACTAGAATGCTTCATTTTTAATTACTTTTCAGCAAATTTCATACAATGAATTTGTATTTAACAGATGTATAAGTTGCACAGATCTATGACTACGCTTTCCCTTCCAAGAAAATATTACAAAAAAATATTGTCAGTATTCATCAAATATTATTTGAACATAGTGAGTTCTAGTTAAGAATAAGAATAAACTAGGAGAAATGGACAAGTACTCTCAACATTGATATATGTATATAATGAAGAAACAAATTTTCATATGTATAAAACATCGTTATTATATTCCGAGAGAATAAGTACGTTATATATTCGAGTATGAACCTCCTAATCTTAGTACGAATACGAGATTTTACAAATGATTCTCTCGTCCTTAATATTAAATTATATTTTTCTATAAAATTATTTCTACCTTATCCGATTATTTTTTTATAATTTGTGATATTTCTGAATTAACTGTATGTAATAATTCCTTTTCTGACCATTCATATCTTGCTAATTCTGGTTTTAATGTTTCATAAGATGTTTGAGATCGTCTATTAAATAAAAAAATACAAAAAAAAGAATATCATATTTCAAATATATTTTACTTTAAGGTCTCAATTTTTTGTCCTAATATTAAATGTTCATATTACAATCGTTTTATCTTATCATCATCTTCACTTTCATCAATATTTTCTAAAATATATTTGTATTACCAGCTTGTGTACTTAATAAATTTAAACACGATGAAGAATTATTTTCATTATTTAAATGATCAATTGGTTCAATTAATTGTGAAAAACGTTTACTAATAATTGAATCTCGATTTATATCAATCCCTTTCATATTCCATCGAACATTTAAAAACCATTTTGTACTAGGAGAATTAAGTATATGTCTAGCACGTGAATGCTTTAAATATTGTGTAGTTGGTACACAACATGCATTTAAAATAATATTGGGTGATGATAATGAATGTGCAGGTTTCCGGCTTTTATTTGTTAGTTGAAAATTTTCACCAAAACGAAAACAAAAACTTTCAAATGAATCTAAACTTCTTATTGCACCACATGAACATGCTGATATTGTTGTTTTATCAAGTGTAGGAATAGATTGTTAAGTTGTTAATCCTGATGATGTTAAATTATCCGTTATTGTTAATTTTGTTGGTGGATCATATTGTTGAAGTGGTGCAGCAATATCTAAATCAACAATATATAATTGAAACATAAGATTAAGTTCTCTATTGGGTGTAGGAGATGTTGGAACATTGATAATTGAACGTAAACGTGTTAAATCATTTGTTGTAGTTATAAATGCATCACGCTGTTCATTC